TGCTCTATTAATCCCAAACCATGCAATTTTAACCCTTCACCCACCGCATTACATTTAAAACCCTACATCCACAGCAATCCTCTGCTGTATAATCTACTTCAGATATGGTACATTAAAGTTGCACTGTCACATATATAATTGGAGATTTTCTTCCTCTCTCGTGGAACTCTGGGGTAACAATGAAATGGTCGAAAAATTAGACCTGGTGCTTTTCAGTTTCTACCTCAGTGTTGTCAGCCCCTCACTAGCAATACCCCTGTCTCAAGACCAATATGCTCTCAGTGTAGATTTATATAGATACATAGAAGGGTTAGCAACAACATCCAGTACCAAGTATTAAGAACTAATAATTTAAACAATGGGCGACAAAGGAGGATTAGGGGCGGTGGGACAGGGATGGGGGTGGAAAGGTAAGTTGCTCAGAAACAACAGAGGAAGAGAAGACAAGGGGGGAAAGAGTGGGAAATAGAAGGGGGGACTACTTTATAGAGGTACGTAAAGAAAGCAAGAAACATTTTATCATGTAACTTGGAAGGTTGTTAAGCGCCTAGATTATGAAAAAAGGTAAGACTTCCAGTTGAGACAATTTGGTATTTGCATGAATTTTAATAGTCGCCCTGTAATCATTAATTATATCCCAAGTGATGGGTGCCCTCTTTTTATTGTGGATATTTTAGCTCCTCTAGACAGATAAAGTAATTCATATAAAATACATGTTGTTGTTGTTTAGTCATTCAGCCGTGTCCGACTCTCTGTGACCATATGGACCATAGCACGCTAGGTACATCTGTCAGTCACTGCCCCTCTGAGCTCCAACAACTTCATGTTCGTGGCTTCAGTGACCTCATCTATCCATCTCCGTCTCTGCTGTCCTCTTCTTCGTGTGCCTTCAATCTTTCCCAACATCAGAGTCTTCTCTAGAGAATCCTGCATTCTCATCATATGGCCAAAATATTTGAGCTTCAGTCTCATGATCATAGCTTCCAGTGAACAGTTTGTCTTGATTTCCTGTAGTACGGATTTATTGGATCTTCTTGCATTCCACAGGATCCTAAGCTGTTTTCGCCAACACCACAGTTCAAAGGCATGAATTCTACGGCGCTCAGCCTTCTTTATATTCCAGTTCTCACATCCGTATGTTACTACTGGGAATACCATAGTTCTGACTATGCGGATCTTTGTTGATAGTGTAATATTTTTCGTTTTTACCAGCTTGTCCATGCTTGCCATAGCTTTCCTCCCCAGAAGCAAACATATTTTAATTTCATGACTACAGTCACCATCGGAAGAGATCTTGGATCCCATGAAAATAAAATCTGCCACTGCCTCCACTTCTTCCCCATTTATTTGCCAGAAACTGAGATTGCTGTTTGCCATGATCTTAGTCTTTTTAACGTTGAGCAGCAATGCAGCTTTTTCACTCTCTTCTTTTGCCCTCATCAATAGGTACTTTAGTTCTTCCTCACTTTCAGCCAACAGAGTAGTATCATCCACGTATCTGAGGTTGTTGATATTTCTTCCAACAACATTGATTCCGGCTTTGGATTCATCTAGCCCGGCCTTACACATTATGTGTTCCGCATGTAAGTTGAATAAATAAGGTGACAATATAAAACCTTGTCGCACTCCTTTCCCGGTCTTGAAACATTCTGTTTTCCCATGTTCAGTTCTGACTGTGGCTTGTTGGTGTCACGTTCACATCCTCTCTATATGCTATACACAACAATAATCACCTTTCCGAAAATAAGAAAAGTGCTGCTCGGCGGTCCTATGCCATAAGACCAGGGTTTTGCAACATGCCGGTGGACACCGGCCACTGCAAATCCACACTGTTATATAGCTCCAAGTCTGTCCACAGAGGTAGTGACGTCGACGTGCGGGTGAGGGCACGTAGAGGACGCGCGCGTGTATGTATTGTATTGATATTTATGTAGTAAAGATAAAATGTCTATATTTTAACATTGGTGCATTGAATATTCCCTAGAATAATTTGTATACTTTTCATGTTCATAACAAATTCTTCTTTTACAAGTTACTTGATTACATTTTTCTAATTCTTTGCTTTGTAAAAGATCACTTACGTCTGTTTAGGCAAAATGAAGTTTAGATATTGCATCTGCTAATAAAATATCCCAGTGATTTATCTGTATTCTGTTGATGTTACTATCTTGGGTATTACATTTCATAATAAAGGATTTTGACCAAGATTGCAAGTGTTTCTAGACTTTGAACTCAACCCAGAATCCACATATGGTTTCAATAAAATGTCTTTTGTCTGTTCTTCCAACTATGTGATAAACTATCTCCAATTTCTCTATAGTATTTATTTTCTTAAATTCTAGCTGGCAGGGCTCCTGCATTCATTTTAAAGCTTTAAAGTGACTATAGTTTCATGTTAAAGTGGACCTGTCATGGCAAATTTAAAAATCACAGCTCTCAAGGTAGTAAAAATGAGATATATTGTAATAAATTATATTTTTCATTGCTTTTTAGAAGCTGTTCTCTTACCTATTGTCCCTTCACCCTTTGTACAGCACTGCTAAATTTGATAATAATTAATAATAATAATATCATCCTACACTCCCCCATCAAGTGTAAACACCTGTTGGAGTACTAGTATTGTTACAGGAAGGAAAAGAACCGCCTGAGAAGGTTCTCTTGCTATAACTGTCACTCAATCCACAGCACTGACTTTCTGTGCCACTGGCACACAGGTATAAAGCTGTGGTTTGATTGACAGATGAGGAAGGGGTCAAACATTTAAAGACCTTTAAATTAAAATCTATAGATTTGTTAACACGACATATACATGGAATTTAATGCTCTTTAAATTACCCTAACTTGTCTGTACCATTTCATGACTTTAATATTCTGTTCTGTATTGAGAACTCCACTTTTGTAAAATTATGAACTATCTGAAGAGCCGCCTAACCAGCGAAGCGCCGGTCAGGACACAGCTCTGTCCCCTCTTTAGCCTGGATGTCATGTGCGTAATATTATATTATTCAGCGATTGGATTTATATTGTGGCTCACTTAGGTATGGTGAATTGATGATCAGCTAGCGAATTTACACATTGTTAGATATTGCAGCACCCCTTTGCTTTTTATTTTAGGTGCCCTTGAAGGTACAATGTTATGTTAAGTACAGATATCTGGATGCCCTTATAGGTTGAGCACTTAGTTGTTTACCTTTTTTATTTAACCATTAGAAACTAATCTAGGTCTTGAGTTTTGTGTTACAGCTATTCTTCTGTGGGAGACACATATGCTGGCCAATTTTGTTAAAATGTTACCAGTTATTTATTTATTTATAAAATATTCTACCAGGAAAGATACATTGAGATTTCTCTCGTTTTCAAGTATGTCCTGGGTCCACTAAACATTGCATTGATACATTAGGGTACAATAAAATACAAAAACAATATTAATACACAATATATGCAAAATGTAAAATGGAACAGGTAGGAAATATATAATCAACCATGACATGTGCATTTTGTTTTGAGGTATGTAGAGAGGGATCTCTTAAAGGACTTTAGGCTTGGGGAAGATTTTAAAGTTTGCGGGAGGTCGTTTCACAATTGCGGCACTCTGTAGGAGAAGGAGGATTGGGCTGCTTTCTTTTTGTATTGAGGTAGACTAAATAAAGTGCTGGTACTGGATCGGAGGTTATAGCAGGTGGGAACAGCCGGGGAGAGCATTCTGCTCAGGTAGGGTGGGAGTTTCCCAGAAAAGCTCTTAAACACAAGGCTGGAAAGATGAAGGGTGCGTCTGGATTCCAGCGACAGCCAGTTTAGCTCTTTTAGCATGTCACAATGATGGGTCCTGTAATTACATTGTAGCAGAACGGGTTAAGGATGGGTGACGGACGAGGTCCGTCACAGAGAGGAGACCCTTAATGATGAGTGACGGACCTCGTCTGTCACGCGGTAAAATTAACCCCGGATCGCCGCTATCGGGGCGATCGCGGGGTTAATGGTGCTCCGGTATGCCTCTGCATTAGAGGCAGACCGGGAGCACCCAGTCAGGCTGCCCAGCACATGTGCTCTGTATACTCACCTTCCGCCTCCCTGCACTTCCTGGTTCTGTGTGAAGTGCAGGGAGCCGGAACAGTGCTGATCCTGCCCCTTGCTGTAAAAAAAAAAAAAAAGTTAATTTAAAGTCTCACCCCCCTTTACCCATTTTAATAAAAAAATTAACCCCTTCCCTGCCAATTGATCACTGACTACAGTGATCAATTGACAGGGATTACATTTTACTATGATCTGATTTTTTTTTAACCCCTGAGGGTTAATTCTTTTTTTTTTTAACCCTCAGGGGTTAAATTTATTTAATTAATTAATTAAAATATTTTAAAATTATATATTTAGCTAGCTGGGGTGGGTGGAAGTTAGTGGGGAATTGGGGGATTTGGCGTTAGGCTAACTAGGGGTTAACGTTAAAAAAAAAAAGTTTTAAAATAAACTTTAAAAAGTAAAAAATTAAGCTTAAAAAAAGTTTTAATAATGTTTAAGTAAAAAATACAAAAAACACCCCCCTTTACCTATTCCAAATAAAAATTAACCCCTTCCCTGCCAGTCGATCACTGCCTACAGCGATCAAATACAGATCACAGTATTATACTGTGATCTAATTTTTTTTAACCCCTGAGGATTAATTTTTATTTATTTTTTAACCCTCAGGGGTTCAATTTATTTATTAATTAATTTAAATATTTTATAACTATATATTTTGCTACCTGGGGTGGGTGGGAGTTATGGGAAAATGGGGAATTTACTGTTAGTGCTGCTTACTGCTAGTTAGGGGTTAACGGTAAAAAAAAAAAGCTTAGAAAAATGTTAAATCTGTAAAAAAGTTTTAAGAAAGTTTAGGAAAGTTTAAAAAAAAATTAATAAGCAAAACAAAAGTTTAAAAACTAGTTTTTAAAAGTAAAAAAGTTTAAAAAAGTAAAAAAATACATTTTAAAAACGCTCATTACCACTACACCTGGAACAAACTAGAGAAAAAATTATCCCACGCCAAGGTTCAAAATATGCCTTTTGAATTACCCCAGAGTGTATTCTTTAATAAATAGTATGTGTTTGTGGGGAAGTTTCAATAACCAACCGTCCAAACTACTCCAAATTGGAACATAGACACAGCGTAAAACTTCAAAGTTAGAAAAAAACTGGAATGGCTGTGTCCCAAATGTGCCCCTCCGATGTCCACACATACCTGGCAAAGGTACATACGGGTGTATTGCTGTACTCAGCTGACATAGATGAGCAACATATGAAGTATTATACAGTCGTAGCACACATAAGGTTTGCAAAATATTCTGTGCAAACTCACTTTGTATGTCAAAAAGGCATACATCTGGTACAAGCTAGCGGAAAAATGATCCCACGCTAAGGTTCAAAATATACCTTTTGAAACACCCTGGGGTGTCTACTTTAAGAAATGGTAGGCCTTTGTGGGGTAGTTTGAATTTAAAACCTGCGAAGATGCTTGGAAGTCTGGTAAAAACGGATATGGCTTGGTCTCCTATATGGCACTGTAGCTTCACGAAATAGTGCCAAAGACATTCATTGGGGGTGTCTTTTTACTCAGAAGACTTAGCTGAGCATAATTTGGGAGGTTTGGCACATATGAAATATACAAAACGCCCAGCAAAAATGCAATCCGTATGTAAAAAATGCACAAAATTATTTTTTACCACATACTTTGGCATATATTGGTGAAAAAATGGGGGTATGTTAAGGCACAATATGCACATTATGATATACCCTGGAGTGTCTACTTTTACAAATGGTAGGCCTTTGTGGGGTTTTTTCAACAGTCAAACTGTTATAATACCCCAAATGGAAGCTAAGGCTCATTAAATCCATCTCTCAAAATTCTACAGTGAATACTGTAAAGGACAGGTCTCCTATATAGCTCTGTAGCTTCACGAAATAGTGCCAAAGACATTCATATGGGGTGTCATTTTACTCTGAAGATTTAGCTGAGCATAATTTGGGGGGTTTTAACTTAGTGGCACATATGAAATATACAAAACGCCCAGCAAAAATGCAATCCGTATGTAAAAAATGCACAAAATCATTTTTTACCACATACTTTGGCATATATTGGTGAAAAAATGGGGGCATGTTAAGGCACAATATGCACCTTATGAGATACCCTGGAGTGTCTACTTTTACAAATGGTAGGCCTTTGTGGGGTTTTTTTTGAACAGTCAAACTGTTATAATACCCCAAATGGAAGCTAAGGCTCATTAAATCCATCTCTCAAAATTCTACAGTGAATACTGTAAAGGACAGGTCTCCTATATGGCTCTGTAGCTTCACGAAATAGTGCCAAAGACATTCATATGGGGTGTCATTTTACTCAGAAGACTTAGCTGAGCATAATTTGGGGGGTTTTAACTTAGTGGCACATATGAAATATACAAAACGCCCAGCAAAAATGCAATCCGTATGTAAAAAATGCACAAAATATTTTTTACCACATACTTTGGCATATATTGGTGAAAAAATGGGGGCATGTTAAGGCACAATATGCACCTTATGAGATACCCTGGCATACATCTGGTACAAGCTAGCGGAAAAATGATCCCACGCTAAGGTTCAAAATATACCTTTTGAAACACCCTGGGGTGTCTACTTTAAGAAATGGTAGGCCTTTGTGGGGTAGTTTGAATTTAAAACCTGCGAAGATGCTTGGAAGTCTGGTAAAAACGGATATGGCTTGGTCTCCTATATGGTACTGCAGCTTCACGAAATAGTGCCAAAGACATTCATTGGGGGTGTCTTTTTACTCAGAAGACTTAGCTGAGCATAATTTGGGAAGTTTGAACTTAGTGGCACATATGAAATATACAAAACGCCCAGCAAAAATGCAATCCGTATGTAAAAAATGCACAAAATAATTTTTTACCACATACTTTGGCATATATTGGTGAAAAAATGAGGGCATGTTAAGGCACAATATGCACCTTATGATATACCCTGGAGTGTCTACTTTTACAAATGGTAGGCCTTTGTAGGTTTTTTTTGAACAGTCAAACTGTTATAATACCCCAAATGGAAGCTAAGGCTCATTAAATCCATCTCTCAAAATTCTACTGTGAATACTGACAGGGAGTGCTCTCTCTGTGAGCACCTCCTGTCAGTCTGGCCAGGTACAGAAAACAGAAGTTCCTGTACCGCGCTCTGCTCTGCTACACTCTGTACACACTGACAGTCACACACTCAATGACAAACACACAGACGTCACTGACAGACACAGACTCATTGATCTGACACACACTCATTCATTGACACTGATAGACCCACACTGATTGACACTCATTGACAGACACACTGATAGTCACACACAGACTCAATGACAAACATACTCTCACTGATTTGACAGACAGACACACTCATACACTCGCACACACACTCATACAATCACTCACAGACACACACACTGTCACTCACAGACACACACACTTTGTCACTTACACACACTTTGTCACTTACACACACTTTGTCACTTACACTCACAGACGTACACACTTTGTCACTCACACACACTGTCACTCACAGACGTACACACTTTGTCACTCACACACACTGTCACTCACAGACACACACACTTTGTCACTCACACACACTGTCACTCACAGACACACACATTGTCACACACACACTGTCACTCACACACACTGTCGCTCACAGACACACACACTCTGTCACTCACAGACACACACACTCTGTCACTCACAGACACACACACACTGTCACTCACAGACACAGACACACACACACAGTCACTCACAGACACAGACACACACACACAGTCACTCACAGACACACACAGTCACTCACAGACACACACCCTGTCACTCACAGACACACACACACAAAGCCACTACAGACACACACTGTCACTACAGACACACACACTGTCACTACAGACACACACACACACACAGAGACACACACTGTCACTACAGACACACACACTGTCACTCACAGACACACACACACTAAATACTAGACACACACACTCTCACAGACACACACACACTCACAGACACACACACACACACACACACACACACACACACACACACACACACACACACACACACACACACACACACACACACACACACACACACACTCACTCACACACACACACACACACACAGTCACTCACAGACACACATCACATGCATTCACTAATTATTTTATAAATACATATTTTCCACCCAGCCTCCCTACCTGGAGAGCTGGTGTGGATTATGGATCGGTCCCTGGGGCTGCTGGGAGGCGTGCGGCAGTGCTGTGAACAGGCGCGGCGAGGGAGCTCTAATCTCCACCCTCTGCTCCCTTGCGGGCTGCCTACTGATGCCGCGGGAGCCGGGTTGATGACGTCATTTTCCGGCTCCCGCGGCATCAGCAGACAGCGCGCGAGGGAGCAGAGGGTGGAGATTAGAGCTCCCTCGCGTGCCTGATCACAGCACTGCCGCGCCGGGGGTCGAGATGGTGGCCTGGCAGGAGGGAGAGCTTCCCTCCTGCCGGTCACTGAAATATTGCGCCCCCAGAGCCCGTGCGCCCTAAGGCGGCCGCCTGTGCCGCCTTATGGACGCGCCGGCCCTGGTTGTAGTAGAGTGATTCTGGCAAAAACCCGATTGATAAGGGGTCAGATAGTTAGATTGTTAGTAATACTCACATAGTTGTGTATGGACACATTTTTCTAAGATTTTTGACAATACTGGGAGCAATGATATTGGACGATAGTAAGAAACCAAAGTAGTGTCACCACTTTTATGGATAGGCACTACTCTTGCAGTCTTCCAAAGTTTGGGTATGTATCCAGACACCAAGGATTCGTTAATTAGGGTTGCGATGGGTTTAGCAATTGCCGGCGCACTGAGCTTCAACAGCATTGCTGGGATTTAATCAGGTCCAGACCGGTTTTTCATTTTTAGATTATTAAGATGTTTTTTAATAACACTAATAGGAACAGGTCTAAAAATGAACTTGTCTATATTGGGTCTTTGCAAATTTAGTGGGGCCTGATTCACATTTGTAGTTTCAGGATGCGTGTCATTTATTAGCTTGGCAATCAGGGCAGTGGAGCACCTGACAAAATAATTGTTAAAGGCATTTGCTACATCTAAGGGAAGTTGCAGGGTTTGGTTATCCATTTTGACAGTGGAGGGTTGGGAGTGGATTGGGGGAGTTTGTAATGGGAGTTTTTAGGGTTTGATAGATTACTGTTCAGATTTTCACTGAAATATTGGGCCTTGGTTTGTTTTGAGCATATATTTTGCCATTGTCTATATACACAGTGATCATTCATAGATACATCTTGTATTGATTTGTTTCCGTAGCTCCAATTGTAATACAATTTGCATTATTTTGTATTCCTTTCACAAGAATTCTTTTTTTTTTAATATACAGTAATAGAAGTTGTTTTATCAATTTTATAGAGTTGTTTGTTATGTACTTGGGTATTCACAGATTTTATTAAAGGACACGGAGGCTCATATTAGGCTTATCTCTTTCTTTTATTCCTCATCAGTGAGGAAAGGATATTAAGACATTCATAGAAAAGAAAAACAAAACAAATACCCTCAGAAGGTTAACCATCACATCATAAAATCTTAGCCAATGAGAACAGTCCACATTGCATATACTCCCAAGTGACCCGAATCCACTCCTCTTTCTTTACTGCTGCCTCAGCTAAGTAGCACTGATTTTTTTGCTGTCATTCCTGTATTTGTTAGTTTTTGTTTGTTTAATTGATGGTATTTCAGTAATATCTTTGTGTTTTGGGTTTTCCTGTAATTGAAGCAGAGCCCTCATTTTTCTTTTCTTTTTTTCCTTTTTTTTCTTTCGTATTTTTCGGGTAGTTTATTACCTATGGTTTTCACGGCCTCGGCGACCCCATCGCCCGGGGTCTCCCTATGGCCTCAGGGCACGTCTCGATGATTGCCCTATACTGTGACCGGCGCTGCTTGCGCATGCACGGTTTGTGGCTGCGCATCGCAGTGGCCATCTTGTGTGTGGCAAGGAGTTTGCTGTGCTTTTCCCTGGCTTTGGGGAGGGCGTGAGCTGATTGGCTGCCTGTGTTGCTGGGCAGCTTGCCAGTGTTTCCCTGAGGCTGTTCCTGAGGGAACACTCGGTAACCTGCCAGTGATTTTGCTGTGCTTTGTCCTAGTGTGCCTATTACCTGTTTCAGCCAGTCCACCCTTATGGACAAAGCAAGTTCCTCCTTTCTGTGTAACACAGGATACCTGTCACTTAGTTTTTTCACCAGTGCAAGTGTGTTGCCCCATATTTGGTCACTATGCAGGCCCCTAAGGAGTTGGGAATTAATGCCCCCTACTACTGCTGAGAGTGCCACTAGACAAGGAATGACCCCTGTCCCTAGACCCCCAACCCATCCAGGGGAGGACATAGCTTCCATTGAGCAGATGAACTTGGAGGCGTTCCACTCACTCCTGGACACTACAATGACCACATCGGTCACCCAGGCCATTTTTACTGTAATGGGGGGGATGTCGGACAACTTGTCCTACTCCATTTCTAATGCTATTCTGGTGTCTAGTCATGCCCCTGGCTCAGCACGCCCTAAGGCCTCTGTTAATAAGCTGGTAGTCCCTAGGAGCCGTAAGGCTACTGAGAAGACCCACTATGTGGGCGAGCATGCCTTTAAAACTGGATTGATGAACAGGTTGCATCCTGTTCCTATTGAGGACGTGGGACCCCCATGTAAAAGAGTCACCCACCGGGCAACAGCGATGCGGACATGGAAGAGGGCAAAAGCCCTGACAGATTTTTCCAACTCTGGTTCAGATTCTGAGGAGGTCTTGGATGAGTCCAATGGGATCGGCTCTATTGATTCGGGGAACTCGTCTCTGGACAGCCATCCTCGACCTACAGGGAGAACCCTTGTTTGACCCCGATGCCCTGCAAAACCCTAGGTCGGCTGAATGGTACCCAAGCGATCATGTGGCCCAGTATATCGCGGCTAGGATTAGGTAGCCCCTAGACAAGGCTACGAGAAATGAGCTTTTGGGCAGTGGTTTTTGGGGGGCCGGCAGACACCGTCTGCCCGATCTTTCCTCCCGGGTTCCTACCAAGTTTACCGAGGCTCCGCCACACCTAGATTCCAGCCTACGGAGACAAAGTCCCATTCGCCCTTCTTCCCAGTCAGGGGCAGACCGTGGCAGTCCCGAGGGAACAGGGCTACCTCGTATGGCCGACAGCCTTATGGTGAGTGTTCTATCATCCCCTCCCCCTTGTATGTCATTTGTGAGGGGGCAGACTGACCTCCGATGTTTGGGTCTTAAACACTATCCTAGGTTATCGTATTGAGTTTGTGCAGCACCCAGTCCAAACCTCCGTGCCACAATGTTTTTTCCCAACAGGACAGGAGCATGTCTGGGATGGAAATTCTCGCTCTACAGGGAAAGGGCGTGATCTACCAGGTTCCATCCTCCTCTCCCGGGTTTGTGAGCAACCTCTTTTTTGGTACCCAAGAAGGGCGGTGGGGTGCAACCGATTATCAACCTGAGCCACCTCAACTCATTTGTCCGGTACCACCATTTCAAAATGGAGGGAATCCACTGCCTTCAGGACCTACTCAGATTGGGGGACTGGATGGTCAAACTCGACCTTCAGGACGCCTATCTAACAATCCCCATTGCCGAGGAATGTCAACACCTCCTTCAATTCCAATGGGACGAGACGACGTGATAATTCCGGTGCCTTCCTTTTGGGCTGTCATTGGCTCTGCTGGCCATCGTGGATTAGATGGGGCTCTGGTTTGTAAACAGCTATTGGTGTGCCGACACCTACGGGTCATGACGACCACCTCAACCTCGATACGCCTCATTATGGGATGTGAATCTGGTTCTCAACCTGTTGGAAACCTTGCCACGGAATGCAGAACTCACGCTTAAACAGCTGTCAGCAAAATTGGCCATGCTTCCCTGTCTGATATTATGCAAACTGGTTTCACTGAACATTGACACATGCTCCTTTACTCCTACAGGAGTTTCCCTCAACATTTCCAGCAGTACCAAGTCATCAATTACTTTGGTTTCCTATCCATCGTTTCCTCACAATATTAACCTCTGCCCAGTGGCTTGTCTACAGGAATATGAAGCACGGACTCAGGAATCCAGCATATCACAAATTGTTCTTGGCTATTAAAATGCCTCACCACCCCATATCTACAGTGATGCTAGCCCGCTGGGTGAAATGGATAATGGCTTCGGCCCACGTAGATATATCCGTATATGGTGCACACTCTACTAGACGGACCATGACTTCAAAGGATTTCAACTTGGGCTGTAAACTAGAAGATCTTCTTCAAACGGCAGATTAGTCACGTGAGTCTATGTTTAAGGAATACTACTTTCGTCCTACAGAATATGTCTCATCTATGGTAATTTCACAGCTTTGAACTAGCCTAATATGAGCCTCTGTGTCCTTTAATAAAATTACCAGATTTTACTAATTACATGATGTAAAGTCATGATTTTATTAAGGACACTGAGGTGAATATTACCCAACACAGTACAGATACGTTTTACATTTTTTGTCCCACCCTAGGTACGCAATGGGTATTGATTTTAAATGTCTGGATTGTTTTCTCTGTTGGTTATTGTTATTGTTCCAGGCGTTAGTTACCTGCAATATGCTTAATTTAAACATAACTAATTAGATTGTTCAGTTTCAGTCACTACTGTGTTAACATGAATGATAGTCTGTGGGAACATATTTTACCATTTGTTCTCTCGGTTCCTACTAGCTTGATGCTTTATGACTGCTCTCCTCAGGACCATTTTCTTCCACAGTTTCAACTTATGAGTTCCCAAGGATCCGTTCCCTCTGAGGAAGTCGGCTCCCAGACACTGGCTGTTCGTCTGTCTGGTTGTGTTGCTTCAGTTAGTTTGTTTCAATTCGTTTAATTGACTATTGGCTTCTGCATCACTAAGAAACAGGTGACTTTTGGTCTGTTATCGGATGCTGGAGGTCTGTGCACATTAGGTCTAGGATTAGGGTCACATGAGCGTATATGCAATGTGGACTGCTCATTAAGATAATGTGATGGTTAACCCTCTGAGGGTATTTGTTTTGTTTTTCTTTTCTCTGAATATCTTAATATCCTTTCTTTGCTGCTGAGGAATAAAAGAAAGAGAGAAGCCTAATATTTCACTCCATGTCCTTAATAAAATCATAACTTTACGTCATGTAATTAGTAAAATCTGGTAATTTTCAAGTGGTAAATCCTGCTAAATTTGCTATATAGCTTGTGTACATGAAAATAATGTTAAAGGACCACTATAGTGCCAGGAAAACATACTCGTTTTCCTGGCACTATAGTGCCCTGAGGGTGCCCCCACCCTCAGGGACCCCCTCCCGCCGGGCTCTGGGGAGAGGAAGGGGTTAACCACTCACCTTTCTCCAGCACCGGGCGGGGGACTCTCCTCCTCTTCGGCTGAATGCGCATGCGCGGCAGGAGCTGCGAGCGCATTCAGCCAGTCTCATAAGAAAGCATTCATAATGCTTTCCTATGGACGCAAGCGTCTTCTCACTGTGATTTTCACAGTGAGACGCACGCAAGCGCCTCTAGCGGCTGTCAATGAGACAGCCACTAGAGGCTTTAGAGGCTGGATTAACCCTATTATAAACATAGCAGTTTCACTGAAACTGCTATGTTTATAAAAAAATGGGTTAACCCTAGCTGGACCAGGCACCCAGACCACTTCATTAAGCTGAAGTGGTCTGGGTGCCTAGGGTGGTCCTTTAATCTGTTTTTGTTGTTGTTTTAAACTGATTTATGGAAATAATTTTTTAGGTGATGGTGTAACTTTAAGTGCTGCTGCTCATGTTAAAATAATTCACATTTACCAGATTGTTTAACTAGGGGCGATATGCAATCTCTGAAAAACTAAGGATGCATTTCTCTCTGCGATTGTAGGAATATTCACTAAACATTCTACTGTATGTTCAGTTGAACCGTGATTACTCAAACCTGTCTGTCTTTTTTAGCCATTATTTCCATAATAAATAATTAAATAAAGGTGGGGCACTTTGGCACCACACCTAAGCAAATATGCACCATGTAAGCATTTAAAAACAGTGATCATTTTATTGCTTGGAATAAACTTATCTACCAATATCTTATTGAATATACAGGAAATATTATGTGATACATTAAAATTCTTTTGTAGTTGATGGTTGGAAATTGTAGCTGAAATATGACGCTCAAATAAGGTTGGTAAGTCATTTCTATCTCTGTATGGTGTTTGGTAGTACATGAAAAGTGGTTACCTGGAGTAGACAGAATTCATATAGTGCAAGAGGAGAAATCTGTCAAATGTCAAGGCAGCTAACCTAAAGTAGTGAAGTCACCAGACAGCATAGTGTATTTTTAAAATAAAAAATAAAATAAAAGGTGTATATAGATAGAGAGAGAGAGAGTATTGAGGGTATACATATTTTGCTAATTCTCAGTTTAAATCTGCACCATTTTCATGTTTCTGTAAATTGGTATAGATAATAATGAGTGCCGTTTATTTCTTATTATATAATCTTGATATTACAAATGATTGATTTGGAAATATACCAAAACCAATATATCAATTACATGTTTTTCCACATCTGACAACATCATTACACTCTTCCTTGCTTTTTCTAGTTTAGATATCGTTGGGAATTTTATGTAGTTAACTATTTAAAAATGTTTTTAAAAAAAAATATTTTTATTATTTCATTATACAATCCAAATACACTCATATAAAGCAATAACCGTCCTGTAGTGGGATAACTTGTAAATCTAGCATATGGTAGACATGTTAGTGGGTTGTGCAATATCCGTTCTTAAATATAAAAGTCCACATAAAAATCATATAAAAACCTGTAAGACTAAACAGAATATTATAAGGCAGACACAATGTGAAAATAATCCAACAAAGACTTCACAATAAGGAAAGAAAGACGATGATAGAAAAAACATTTTCTTAGAGAATTAGATGGAGAGAGAGGACAGTTAAAGGCACACTCTAAGCACCAAAACCACTGCCATGTTAATGTAGTGGTTTTGGTGCAGAAATGCGGTCCCTTTTTTCGGACAATGTAAAGCATTTTCTTTTCTGAAAAATACTGAACGTACTTCAGTCTGGAAGCCATTAGAGGCACTTCCTATGTAAGATCTTTGATTTTTGAAGGTCTTAATGTTCGGCGTCATCATGTACTGCATGATGGCACTGAGAGCTGCCAATGCGTCTCATAGAGAAGAACTGGATTCTGTGCTTGTATGCGGGAAGCACTTAATTGCAGGAGCATGACGATAATTATGCATGTGCAGTAGATTCTTAGTGCTTCTTTATGGGAAGCATTGGATTAGACCAGAAATAATCAGTCCTGATGATCTCATTGTGAGAGAAGTCACTAAACAGATGAGAACAAATACTTTTTCACCTAGCAGTGACTGGGCTCCCAGTGCAACTACCTTTCCCACTGTGCTTAGCGTGCCTGAAACATCTAATATGGCCGATGGTCACGTGACCCGCTTTTCTTTTAATTTTGATAGGTAGACGCTTTGTTTTGCTCTGCCATTCACTACACTAGCTTTCAGTATTGACTACTATTCTACACTCCTTATTTACCATTTTTTTTAAAACAAATTTGATATTTGTCACTATTATAGATTTTTACCTTCTACCTGGCATCCGATTTTACTGTTCCAGTGAGGACTACTCCTAAAAAATCCTAGGTGGGGATTATACCACTTACGCCTACACATTGAACAGTCTGCCTGCTCAATTAAACATGAGTAACCATTCATTATTTTATACTCCTGGTACCTTTTATACTGTGAGCACTAGTGTTGTCTATTTTATACTTTTTATGGTCTTCATACTGACGAAACACCTGTCTATCAACA